AATTTTCCATATGGCAGCAGCCAAAATATAATTACTGGCTTTTTTTAAATATCATTACTGATTAGTGACTTCTAGTCATTAAGCTACTAATTATAATTTTTAACTTTATCTCCCCCAACAAATACCTGAATGAGACATGCCTGATCTTAACTTATTAGGCACCCCAATTGTTGCCAATTGAAATGAAAGGGAAAGGGGTCAAATAAATAAAATAATTCTTGGGTTCTCCCATTATTAATTAATTGCTTTGTCCTTTATATATTCTTCAATTATGAAATTATGCCGACGTTTGATCAAAATAAAATAACCAAGGATTTCTACTGGGAAGAAATAGAAGACAAAAGAAAAGGTCATTATTATTATAATCTTGTTCAAGGAAAATAATAAGTTTTAGTCAGAATTAATTAAAATTAGTGGGGATGTGATCATATATATACAACACTCGCAGAAGTGTCCCTGTTGTACTTGTGCTGATTTTAGCAAGTGGGTTTAGTGGGAATTAGCTGCAACTTGTAATTAAGATAAACATAAAATACTGGGAGAGCAGATATAGGGACAAACCAATTTGTATACAACCATACATAGTCATTCTCTCGTATTATAATCCAATTGTTTTAGTTTGAATTTCAAATTTTTATACGAAAGAATAATAAAAGCTATGTTTTACAAAATTACACTCATTTATATATATTTATTTATTTATTTTATTGAAAATTCATTAGTCGTCATGAGTTTTAGTTTTTTACCATAGTATACCAAAGTGGTACAAAAGATTACATAGACTAATAGGAGAATACAATAATGGATTAATGATGAAAATTGGGCGGAGCGGACATCTCAGTACCCATACTCGCTCTGCACCAATTGGGGTTCGGGTCGGGTAACACTCTTGGGGATACGAGTCGGATCAGGTCGATCTATTCTTATATATTATTTGAAGAAAATATTTATTTTAAACGATAAACCAAAGATAAAATAGTCATAAAAATAGAGATAATAGATAGATTAATTTAATCCAATTAGTTGAAATATGAGATTTTTCACTATCTAGAGTATAATTAGGTGAAAATATGATTTAAAGTAAGTCAAAATAGGAAAAGTACAAATAGATATGGAGACAAGTTGAGGTATAACGAGTACTGAGATGATGCAAGATTATTTGTGTTTCAGCCAAGAAACAAGGAAGCTCCGGATCTGTGAAAAGGGCGGGGATGACCCCATTATCTACACTTCGACGATCAACATTAGATAATGATAGAGAAATAGGGAGAGCTTAGGTAGAGAGAGATTGTAAAGAGATAAGTTATATGTAAAAAATGAGTGGAAGAGAATGAGAGCCCCTTACTTGGAAGACCTAAGAGCATATTTATAGGTCAAACCTTATCACACTTCATTGGGCTTCCATTGGGTCTTTGTGATGTTTTGTGGGCTTGGGCCCATACGCACTTGTAGATCACCATTCTTGCTCGAGTTTGGTTGTGTCATATTTACGGGTGCAACAATTAAAAAAAAACTGAGATGATGCAAGATAAATATAGTACACTTGTCCATCTCACACTCCTGCGCATCAGGCATTACGCGCCCAATGTGAGTCAAGTTTGATAATACCCGACGAGATTGAAAACTCATATAACTACTAGGAATAAACCATAGTGATCCAGTTGTTTTTGTGCCAATTTTTAGCAAGTGGGTCTAATGGGAATTAGCTGCAACTTGTAAATAAGAATGTAATACTCGGTTAAAAACCAATCATAACAGAGAAAGGGAAGAACATTTCAATTTGTATAATGGGGGGCACTGTAAAACTAGTTGAAATTGGATGACTTTTTATTATTATTATTATTCTTTAATGCCCTTACTACTGCAACAAAAGGCATAAAAAGGATAGGTAATGTGATGATCACTTGATAAAGCTAATAAAATTAATTAATTAATTAGTGGACTTAATTGTCATATCCGAGGCTAAATTAGGTTTGATGAAGTCCAAAGTCTGTGCTAAGCATAAATCATGAATAGTTAATTCATTCATTCTCCTTAGCGTCAAGTTGGTGAGACATAACACAAGTTGTGCTGCAAGGCTCCAAATTTTGATTTGTCTCAAGTAGACATATTCCACAAGTGTGTGATGGGATAAAAAATAGGTTTAACAGGGAGTTAGGCTTAATGATTAAGTATGTTTAATTTTATAAATGTTTTTTTTGTTTGGGATGATGTTGATGGCCTCCAATTTTAAGGGTGAGGCTGATGTTTTTCATCATCCTTTTGATCAATCTGATAAGTCTCGTCCTGAAGTCTATAGCTGATAATTGATCCTGAAATTTGTAAAAGCGGAGTAATAAATATCTACAAACTAAGCATCAAAATGTTTATGAACATTACACACATTCCATGTTTAATTAAAATCAGCACAATATGTGAGACACATGCTCAGAAGAATGCATGACCATTAGATCGAGCGTTGATCGCTCTGTAATCGTTGAACAAAAGCGTGATGATAATTTTGTAAATAAAATCGTCATTGTAATTTGCAACGTCCAATGCATAATTTCTCAAGTTTGTAGATATTTATTTTGTCATCTTTGCGTTTTTGTCCTCGTTACTATTTAGTTTTCAACTAGGGTAGTTTGTAGACAACAAAACAAATATAATTTCCCAAGTTTCATGGGCTTGGCCTAAGGTACAAATTGGATTATCATCGGGGTGTAGTGATAATGACGATAAATTTTGACGATTTTGAAGTGGTTGATTTTGAATTCATGGCGTCCCTGTTTGTTATTCTTCTTCGGGTATTATATGGTAGTCATGTAGATGTTTTTTTACTGAGTTGAAAGTTCAGATTGAGGAAGGACTTGTTATGTCTAAAATAAAATTGTATCGTTGTATATAATATAATGAATTAAAAAAATTACGGAGGAGGTTGAAATCATCTAAAATTTAAATTTGAATATTTCATTTGACCGATCTGACTTAATTTCAAATCCGCATATGTATTTATTTGTTTCTTCTTAATAGTTGAAATCCACTAACAATTCAACAACAAATGGAATAAAACGAAAGAATCTTCAATTAAATGATGGTGAAATTAGGTTTGATTAGATCCAAGTATCTTATAATCATGTGTGTAGTAATGAATGAATACTGAACTCGACAAACTATTTTATCCTATTTCACATCTAGTTGTAACAAGTTCAATTTGGACTATGTCCATTTTCTAGTTTCAATTAGCGGAGTTGTGAAAAAAAATAAAAATATCTGAAAATATTTATCTTTAAGATAGATTATGTATCTTTTAAATTATTAAGATTCTTGACTTGCCATGATTTACCTTGTAACTCTACACACAATCCCTCATATATTTTTGTTTTTTCTAAAATAGAAGGAGAAGAAACCATCAATCAACCAACTTGATAACATCATGTTTTCAATCGGATTTTCCAACTTTTTAGCTTCTTCAACCTTTATGGTTTCCCCCTGTTCTAGGGTTCGTTTTTTGTTTTGTTTGCTTTCCTTGGTGTGTTTGTTTATGCATCTTCTTCGGTCTCCTCTCAAATGGTGGGTTTATCAGCATGTGTGGTGAATCGTCCCTTCGTTCTCCCCGAGTGGTATGTTCTGCCTCTTGGTCGGCGTCGATAGATGGATGGAGGTGTCTGATCCGGTTGACCGCGTCAACAACTCTTTGCTATTGGGGGTGTGGGCTCTTCTGCTCGCCTTGACCAAGACTTGGTGCCTCGACTTCCCATGTCTTTTTTACTTGGAGCAATTCGATCATCAACTTTGACCACCGGTATGTAATCACACGCCCAAGATTCACTATACTGAGCGCCTTCGAGCGACTCCCAGGAGGCGGCTTATGACGTTGTGTTCAATAGTCATGGTCTCGGTCGAATCGGACGAGCTGATTGCACTTGATTCTACTTTGAATGGTTTGATTCCAAGAGAGCTTTCGGTATTTTCTGATTTTGGTTCAAGTGTTTTCAAATCCATTGATGGATTGGCTCGTTTGATATTTTAAGCTTCCCTTGTTGTTACTTCTGAAGCATTGATCAAGTGTATGCTTGAGTTTGTCTGACCTTGATACCATTATGGTTTTATTTGTTGATTCCTCTTATAATCTATTATTCAAGTTTAATACAAATATATTCCCTTTGTAATTTTCTCTTTTGATAACGTCACCCTGCCTGTTTCTGTAAAAAAAATCTTATTATTTTAATAGCTGTAGTTGAGACTTGAGAGAAACAAATGATATTATAACAAAAAATCCCCTGCGTCTTCTATAAAAAAAAAAATACCCTACGTCTCCCGATTATTTTATATAATAATAAAAATTCACTGTCTGCTGGAATTTTTTAAATCTCAGCTATAAATCAAAAGGTCCCGAACTTGGAACCCACTTCCTATTTTCTCCTTTATGGTGCATTTTGGCTGCTCTACTACTTCTCTGCTTGTAAAGTTCCGTCTTCTTCTTCAGCCATCACTCTCTGTCTCTCCTGTAGTCCTGTTTTCCCTCACAATCGATATTAGAGAAAGAGCGTTTCTATACTCTGCGAGATCTTCAGAGCGATCTAACGAGTTGAGCGTCGAAAAAAAACTTGAAATAGAATGTATGCCGAGCCAGGGCTACTGTTCCCCTATTTGCAGAGCTACTCCCAAGACTTCCAGCAACTCGAAGAGTACTGCAAGTACCAGGAGGACAATGCTTCAATGGTACGACCCCTCTGTTTGTTTTTACTGTTTCTTTGGGTTTTTTTTTTGTTGTCTCTTGAGATATCTGAGAAATGGGTTGTGAAGAATTCAGCTGGGATTCACTTGGGTTGGTGTTGATTTGGCTTTGAGTTGTGGGTAGGAATTTTTTTCCAGCAGTTACAGATCTTCATGGTTTGGTAAAAGGGATAGAAATTTTACCCCATTGCTGACTAGGTTTTCCACTTCCTCTGTGTTGAAATGGAGGGCTTAGTTCTTTGCTTTGCTTTCTTTGTCTCACTCCTCAATGTTTCCGAGCACCTGAAACCATTGAGCTGAAATGGAAACTAGGGAATTTTGCTTTTATATCGCAATTGGATCTGGAAAGCTTAAAGGAGAGGAAGAAGGGAGTAGTACAAAGTAGGAAAGTGATTTCGCTGTCCAAAGCTCCGTGTTCTATAAGCTTTGTTCCATTTCTTTCTCCCTTCTCCTCATTGTGTGATGTGAACCAGTAGTTTGGGTTTTCTTCCTGCCTTTGTGCTTTTATTAAGACATTCACGCCCACCCAGAAGTGAGTTTACAGAGAAAGGAGCGGAGGGGAAAGTTTGGGAAATCCCAAAAGAGGAAAGTTATCTCCATCTTTGTTTGCCTGTCTGGCTTTAATTTGTGGAAGCCAAGCTTTGCTAAAAGGACATACATGGGTGAAACCAGGGTTTCCCTCTTCTTGAAAGGGGTTGCTCTTCAATTTTGCTTTATCCCCCATGTTCAAGTGTATAGAGGTCACTGTTTCAGGTTCAGCTGCTTTTATTGTCCGACCCTTCAGCAATATGAGTGGCTGTCTGTACTTGTGGGTTTTCAGTTGTTTATCTTTCCTTTTGTAGTTTAATGGTGGATTGTGTTATTCTTGACCTTAGGAATCTAAACCCAGGGAGAAACTGAGAAAAAGGGAGACGAGAATTCAGCTGCTTCATTGAATGTTTATGATCGTTTTCATTTCTGGTGTATGGCGGTTTGGATGATTGAGAGGGTATTGAAGCTGTCCTTTCGTTGATATGTGTTCGGTTTTAGTGATAAGTATTTCTTTTACTTCTCAGATACTTGTCCTGAATATGGATCACAGACTTGTTAGCTCCTTATTGGCCTTCTGGATACTGTGTGATCTTCCAAATCACAACCAAATCTTTTGAGGCCAACATGATTGTTGAACTGTATAGTAAAATCAAATCCAGTTCTCTAGTATCCATGGTTAATTTGTTATTTTCCTTCTTGTCTATTATAGAGCAACCTGATCTCATCCTCAAGCATATCCGAATATGACCTGGGAGGGGAAGGGGACCTATTCAAGGCACCTGAACTGATCATCGAGGAGCCAATCATGGGCCTTGATCCGATGACAGCAGCCATTTCCATGATATCTTGTGGGGAAGAAGTCCTTACTCCATCAGGACTCAAGATGGCTGCTGGACTTGAAGACATTCAAAATGAGCAGCTTCTCAGCGACGTCTTCTACGAGTGCAAGAAAGACCTCATGGAAATGGCTGCAGCAATAGACTCCCCGCTCTCGGATATTCTGGATATCAAGACTCCTCTGTTGAGAACCGAAGAAAACCATGTCCAAGACCATGAGTTGGCCCCTGATCTAGGGTTGTCAAAGAGTGTTAGCTCGGGGTGTCTAAGCGCAATGGATTGGATCCCTGGAGGTCCGGTGAAGCCGAGTTTCCTGGATTTCCCTGGGATTGATTTTACTGCTGCTTATGGGATGCGAAGAGCATTCAGCGAAGGTGATATCAAGGTAAGCGAAGACATATTGGTCTCCTTCTATCAGTATTATTGTACTGCCCTGCTAAGTTACATGATTATATTCATGGTTTCATGAACTAGTAAAAGGTATGGTTTGCCAATCCTTTAGGTTAGAACTGTAGAACTAAATTACTAAAGGATCACTGTTAGTAACGGATATGTCCCTGTCACTTTTTTTTGTCTTGATAAGTGATGATAATGAATGAGCTTCAGTTTAGCTATTAGAGATCGACTGAAGGCACCAGCCACCAACTGATGCCTAATTGCCTAAAATGAACCGAATTTAAATATGCCTTTTGGTTGAAAGGATAACCTGAACTCTTCCTGCAAAATTCCAAGCTTATCTGCTGCAGAAAGGCGAACAAACGAAATATGCTTGTATGATAAATTCAGAACCTATGGTTCTGTTCTTTTCAGTTACTCTAATACCAAATTTCTTGTGGCAGGCTCTTGGAAATGGAAACGTGGGACACATCCATTCTCCGCGTCCACTGCTCATTAGCAGCAACTCCACTTCTGAAGCCCGGTTGGAAAAGCTTTCGAGGTACCGAAACAAGAAGAACAAGAGGAACTTTGGCAGGAAGATCAAGGTAAATTCATCCTATCAACCAACACCACTTCTTTATTTGATCCATTCGGCGAGCAGACTATTCTATAGCTCTCCACCATTGAAACTCAGCCCCATATTGTTTTCCCCTTTCTTTTCCAGTATGCCTGCAGGAAGGCCTTAGCAGACAGCCAGCCGAGGGTCCGGGGAAGGTTCGCCAAGACCGAAGAATCTGATGTGATCAAAGGACACCAGCAATGACCATCTCTAGCTAACCTTGCTGCTGCTGCTGCTGCTGCTGCTGATGATGATGATGAAGGAACCAACCAGTTGAAAAAAGTGTAGGTATGGAATAGTTTTTAGTCCCTGCGAGGGGGGGAAAATCTAAGTACTAAGTAGTAGTAGTGGTAAGGGCTGCCTAATCTGTAATCAATGGAGAAAAGAGAAAGAGAAGCTAAGTATTTAGTGTTGTAATAAACTTAATTCCGCCCCAGCGCAGCAAGCAAGGAAAGCCAAAAAGAGAGAGTGTAGTAGTTTGATTGATGATTATTATCATCCTCTGTGATTACCTCGAATCTGTAGTAGAAAGTTTGTATATATGGTGGATGGTGTGGAATAAGACGACGGAGGAAGGGCAGATTTGTAATCAATCTTGCTATATGCATCTGTTCTATCGTAAAGGAATGACAAACAATGTTCTTCTTCTCGTTTTCTTTGGGGTGAAAACATGTTGTAATGCATATAATATGAAAATTGAAAGGTGTACCCAAGTCAAAAAGGATTTACTAAATATCAAATAATATGAAAATTGAAAGGGTATTAGTTGATGTGTAGTTGTGTACATAAGTCAACAGGTAAATTTAGTTTTTAAAAACTTGAAAATTGGAAGGTATATCATGGCTATGATATGTGGGCTACCATAATGCAAGTATCATTTGGATGTATGTTACAAAGCACAACTACCTCAAGTTAATGAATTAAGCAAATGACGAGGTCACCAAGAGAGTCATACAAAAGTCAATGTGTAATGTTGGGGTCGATCACAAATAGTATGAGTATCAAGGTCTAACACTCTAACGGGTAACCTTATGAACTAAATAGTCAGCTAAAAAAGTAGCTTCCCTATAGATATGTTGCACCCGAACCTCCCATGCTCGACTCAGGAGCTCCCTAATTGAGAGAATGAGGCGAGCATACTGATGGTCAACAGGTGCATCCACCGAGTGCGAATGAATAGTGGTAGTCAAATCAACCTCGAGTTCAACCTTTTTGGGTCTCGCTTCCTAGGAAAGCCGGAGACCCCTAAGGGTGCCCTAGAGCTCCGCGCAATAATAGTACATCTTCCCAGATCATCGAGAAAAAGCCCCCAGTAAGAGATCTTGTCCTTCTCGAAGCGGACCTCCTGCGGCGGTTATACCCCGATGATCGCAAGAACGAATCATCTGAGTTCTCATAGTGATCCATCCCGTCGAGACCGGTCTCCACTCTATAACTTACGTCTCGACGGGGCCTCCCTTGTTATATAGTTTGATTCGCTGCTCTGCTCGAGTGCGCAGTGACCTCCGATGCTCAGATCCTCTTACGGTATAATTATAATTCACAATGCGCACTAAAACCAGCCCGTCCCGATCAAAACTCCCGTCAAAATGAATGGCTTCTTTGTCTCCCTCTTAAGTCCTAAACCAATACTCGATTCAATCATCTTTGTATTTTACTATTACTACATGATGATTTCGTTTTCTTTAGGGTGGGTCAAATTCAACTGCGTCCCAACTCCTAGCACAGCCAAGTTTACCGCTGACACCCAGAAAAACCCATGTGCCCTCTCTCTCTCTCTCTCTCTCTCTCTCTCTCTCTCTCTAGGTCCTCAACTCAACCAACCACGACGTATATTCGTACTTGGCTCCATTTCAGCAAAGCTTCAGCTTCAATCTCTCGCTTTTTCTGAACCCCGCCTCCGTAGTAGAAAGATTCCGGCTACTGACACGGTGACACCCGCCAAACTAAACTAAACTAAGCAACCCCAAAAGGGTCTGGTCAACGCTATAAACGTCGCCGGTAACCAACTTTTAGCTACTCCGGTCAATCGGAGACAAACAGTTCTCTCTCACCGGAAAAAATCAGTCCGAAGTCACGGACCGAATTACCCACTTTACCCTTCCCCTACTAAATTGGCACATTAAAAAGTTGGGTTTTTTTAAAAAAAAAAATCCAAACCAATAGTGTTATGTACAACCTCTAAACATTCCAGCTCCCGCCATCACCAAAAAATGGCGTCAGGAACCAAAAGCTTCAGCTCCCCAAACACCGTACCGTCGACCGGAATCTGTCGACGACGCTGTCTCTATTCTTCTCATCCAACGATATCGGCACATGCTAACACGAACTTCGGGAAGTAAACGTCACTAGGGACGCAGGGTTAAGGAAAGCCGGCCCCCGTTGCCACGTTACGGTATCGTTCCCTTCCCGCTTCCCCGGCGGGGAATTCCGCTCCAATTTTTCAGTAATTCATTTTTTTTCTAATTGTTCGCGGCCAATGAGTCATTTTATCTTTTATTATTAATTTTTTTTATCTTGTGTTTTATTTTCCCCGTCTTTCTTTACACTCTGTTGTTGCGAGCGGGGAGGTAGAGAGAGAAAGATAAGAGAGAGAGAGGGGGGACAGATCTCTGGTTCGCTCTTCTTTTCTTCGGGCCTGCAATTTTCTCATTCCGCGCTACTGGTTCGTACGCTTCTGGCTCTTCGTTCTGCCTCATTCCTCCATCGCGATTCGTTCCTGATTGTGGCTCTGTTTTCTGATTTCTTCGCTTTCGTGGATAAGTACGACGACTTCCTCTCTCTGTTGCATCGTTTTGTCTCTGTTCTCTCGATTTCGTTTCCGTTCGTTGGAATTCGGTTCGAATTAGGGTTCCGGTGAATGTGAGATTAGGGAGGGGTAGGAGGAGGTTCGTTCCTCTAGCTCGTTCGAATTTGGAAATGCGCGGTCGTTGAATTTGGTTTGCGTGTTCGGCGATTGAGTGGACTCTCTCTATCGGTCTCTTTTTTTCTCTCGGCGGTTCCGCCGCGGCGGCGGACGAGGAGGAGGAGGGATGATAATCAAGCGGAACTTGAAATCGCGAATGCCGAGTCTCAAGCGGTGTAAACTCGAGGAGTCGGGGTGCGACCCGGACGATACCTCGGCTTCGTCGCGGAAGAAGAAGAGGAAGCTCGGAGACGGTTATTGCCCGCTCAATTTCCTCGGCCAGATCGCCAACGGCGTGATTCCCGTCGGATTCCGTGGGATTCTCGGCGGGGGTCACAGGGGAGGAGGTTTTGCTGCTTCGTGGTGCACCGAGGTGTCGTGCTCGCCGCCCGGCGAGGAGGAATTGGAATCGGACTCGCAATTGGAGGTTCCGGATGCCGTCGGAGGAAGTAGCCCGGCGGTGGCTGAGGTTTCCCGACCCCCGGTTGTCCGGACGTCCAGAGGCCGGGTTCAGGTACTCCCTTCCCGGTTTAACGATTCTGTGATTGAGAATTGGAGGAAAGAGGAGAAGGCTAGTACTAGTTTGCAGGATGATAGCTTAGAAGACGATATCGTCCAGTGTGATACCACTGCCAGTAGGAAGTTGAAAGAGAGAGTAAAGTTCAGCTCGAAAACTTCTCGAATAGTTACTAGTAATGCCAGAAATCAGCGGAACTACGAAAGGGTCGCTAATTTCCGTAGTAGTAAAGGAGGGGCTACACTATTTGACGAAGATGACAGGCTGGAAGTGGAGTACAAAAGCTTCGACCTGAAAAGGTATTCCAATTCGCGAAGTACACTAACGTCGTTGCATGAGCAATTACTGGATGATGACAAATGTGGAATCAACGCTGTAACTGGCAGCCCAGACAGGTATAAGAAGAAAGACGGGTTGTTTGGGCCTGAAGACTTCTACTCCGGTGATATTGTCTGGGCAAAGGCGGGGACTAAGGACCCATTTTGGCCGGGCATTGTGATTGACCCCATGACTCAGGCACCGGAGCTGGTTCTGCGGTCTTGTATACCTGACGCAGCTTGTCTGATGTTTTTGGGTTATTCTGGGGACGATCAAAGGGTATGAACTGATCACTCTTATTCATGGGAGCTGGCTTATTTGTTTGCCGCTCCATTACAGGACTGATATGCTGACTATTAATTGTGCTTTCTGATCTTTACCAGGATTATGCTTGGGTGAAGAGAGGCATGATCTTTCCATTTATGGATTTTGTGGACAGGTGTGGTAGATTATTTATTATCCAATGGTTCCAGGATTGTGGAATAATGATTCCAGGGTTGCTGGTGTAAGATCTGGAAATATTTAAGACCTTTTCCCCCCTTATTACAGGTTCCAGAAGCAGCCATTGAATGACTACAAAGCCAGCGATTTCCAGATGGCAATCGAGGAAGCGTTCATGGTAGAACAGGGATTTTCAGAGAAGTTGATGCAGGAAATAAATCTGATAGCTGGAAATACCACTTGTGAGGAACCGGCATTTAGATGGTTACAAGAGGCTAGCGGTTCAAACCAATATCAGGATTCTCAATCCCCAAACCAGGCAAGTATTCTGCATATCCTTGTCCGACTGCATGGCCTTCTTTCATCTTTGTGGTTCATCCCTGAATCTTTTCCTGGCTACTTCAGCAAGTATGCTGCAAATCAGAACAAAACATCCCACTATTTTATAACCATTGTTCCCTCTTTTCTGTTTGAGATGTTTGGATTTTCTGATTAGTCAGAACTCTGGAGTTAAAGAATTGATTATACGTCATGATGAAATGATTGCATTGTAATTAGTCAGTACTCTGTTGTCAATGCACCAGTCATAAGGGGATGGTGGGTCCTATTATCTGAAAGGTGTTTCCTATTGGGTTTGAGTCATTAAATTTCCTTATCAGATTATGTTGAAACATTTCACTGGACCTTAGTACAAGAACAGAATCAAGTGGACCCAACTCTACGTGTCTGAGATTGTTGGGATTGGAGTCTCGTGTGTGAGGGTTCCAACTTCAATTTAAATAAATATAAGAGTGTAATTGACATGTGAGCTTTTCAATTTTCTTTGTTACTCTAGGTGATGTTCATGAAGAAGAACAATAAGTGGTCTTGTGAAGGATGTGGAATATATCTGTCTCCTAGATTGCCGAAGAATACAAAAGCTGCAAGTCCAGGAGGCCAACTCTTATGCAAAACCTGTGCCAGGGTGAGAACTACAGATGTTGTCTATCATCCTTCTGAAATCCTAGCTTGCGTCATATTGGTTGTTATAACTTCAGAATTTGTTGCAGTTAACCAAGTCAAAACATTGCTGTGGAATATGTAAAAAGTTCTGGAACCATTCAGATAGTGGGAGCTGGGTGAGTAATTTTTTATGTGGTATTCTTTTTACTTCTACTTGTTTGCACAGCTATAATATCTTTTTCCCTGTCCATTCTGAGTAGGTGCGATGCGATGGGTGTAAGGTTTGGGTTCATGCAGAATGCGATAAAATTTCCAGAAATCGATTTAAGGTATTTCTATAATGTTCATCATTGTTACTTGTCATTATCCTCATTTGAGCATTTTATTGTATCCCTGTGACACAATGGGAACACCAAAGGAAGCTTCTAATTCTATTGATCAATGCTTCAATTGCAGGACCTAGGGGCAACTGATTATTACTGTCCTCCTTGCCAAGCAAAGTTTAATTTTGAATTGTCTGATTCAGAAAGATGTGAGCCAAAATCCAAGTAAGCTATTCATTTGGGTTCTAAAATTTTGTGAATTCTGGGATGTTCAAATATTCAATTCTTGAGCCCCTTTTGCAGGTCGAGTATCGGGAAACAACCTCCACCTAACAAAGTTTCTGTAATATGTTCTGGTGTAGAAGGCATATATTACCCAAGTTTCCACATGTAAGCAATATGTTGACTTTCTGAATTATCTTCTGTTTCTAAAAGCTAATGGTCGACTCAATGTAGTATGTAGTAGCTTTGATGGAGCTTTAGATGGCATTAGAGAGATTCATTATGCTATGGGGAAAGTTGTTTTAGTAATTTGATTTTGTATCTTTGTCTGATTTGCTTGTTCTGGATTCTGGTAGGCGAGTTTGTTGGCCTTCACTTGTCTTCATCTCTTTTTTCACTTAGTTGCCTTGTACAACCTTTCATGTTCTAGGGTTATCTGCAAATGTGGGACCTGTGGGACGGAGAAGCAACCGCTGAGTAAATGGGAGAGGCACACGGGTTCGAAAATTAGAAACTGGAGAACCAGCATCAGGGTCAAAGATTCCATGCTGCCTTTAGAACAATGGGTGAGTGTGGATTTATGTGTAGAATGATTCTTTCATCATTTTGCAAACAGGTATCCTCTTTGTCCGAAGTGATTTGTGCTTCCTTTCCAATTTTCTCACTTTGTTACCTGAATTTGCAGATGATGCAGTTAGCTGAGTATCACGCGCGCACTGTATCAACTAAACCTTCCAAAAAGCCTTCCATTAAAGAGCGGAAGCAGAAACTGCTGGCCTTTCTGCAAGGTATTTTCTGTTCCATCTCAAAGAACCTTGCAATCAGTCTTATTAGCCTTTATTGGATTCTCTAATTTGCTACTTGATTGATGGTCATTCTGCTGTGCACATCCAACAGAGAAATATGAGCCTGTTCATGCAAAGTGGACAACTGAACGTTGTGCTGTATGTAGATGGGTTGAAGATTGGGACTACAACAAAATTATTATCTGCATCAGGTATGTTTATGCCTTGTACTCTGTGGGAGGGATTACAATAGATCAATGCATGCTCATTATGTTCATGAACATGTTTGTAGTTCATATTATCAGTAGAGGCTATAAAATCTCATGCTTGTTATTGCTAGGGCCATGATATTTTTGTCTGATATACCTGCTTTAACTGCTTCTGCTATTAAGATTAAATCTGAAGAGCTGGCTGGCTAATCAGATGTTTGGCTTAAACACGGGTCTAATATTCATGAAAGTATGGGAACTAACAGTGTGATTATAATGTGTCTCCTTCTTTGCATGTATACCAGATGTCAGATAGCCGTTCATCAGGAATGTTATGGAGCAAGACATGTACAGGATTTTACTTCATGGGTTTGTAAAGCATGTGAAACTCCTGAAATTAAGCGGGAGTGCTGCCTTTGTCCTGTCAAAGGTCAGTGTGGTTATGGATTTGAAGTTCATTGTGCAACATGGTACCTACAGTATGCTCGTAGTCGGCGTGAATTCGTTTTCCCTGTCTTGGTTTTATTAGCAGCACTGAGAGAGGTCACTTTTTAGGTTTTCTTGCTTGCAAATGTTCTAGTGCTGCCTGAAGTTTCTTGGTATTCATTTTCACTTTCAACACTGTTCCATTTTCACTTTCAACTCTGATATTTTTCTTGGTATTCATGATTTGTGGAATTTACTAGGCGGTGCTCTGAAGCCAACCGATGTCCAGACACTGTGGGTCCATGTTACATGTGCTTGGTTCCGACCTGAAGTTTCTTTTGCTAGTGATGAAAAGATGGAGCCTGCTCTTGGGATTTTATGTATTCCTTCAAATTCTTTTGTGAAGGTACAACTCAATCCAGCATTTGATCTTCAGCTTTTGTGAATGTAGTCTTAGAAACATGTGTTGTGTATCAGTAATTTAACTTTTTTTTGTCTGAGATATGATCCATATATCATATATGTTATTGAATTTACTTGCATTTGTAAAATTGTTTATGATAATCTGAACTTTCTTTGCTTTTGGGCATTTCAGATTTGTGTCATTTGTAAGCAGATACATGGGTCATGCACCCAATGCTGCAAATGTTCAACTTATTACCATGCTATGTGTGCTTCACGGGCTGGTTATCGCATGGAGGTGAGAGTTATTTTCATTTGTTACTTGTTCCTTTTGCACATATAGGGATGTGATACATTTGCATTACACATACACAACATCCATTGTCCATAATTTCCTGAACTTTTCATGTGTGCACCTTAAATTGCAGTTGCACTGCTCTGAGAAAAATGGAAAACAAATGACGAAGATGATTTCTTATTGTGCATATCACAGGTATGAAAGTTAAAAGCTTTATCTGGATTATCTACAGGTTGACAATGCCTCATTATCTTTTTACTGATAAATGCTGTTATGATTAATGCTGCAGGGCTCCAAACCCAGATACAGTCTTGATTATACAGACTCCTGCAGGGGTATTTTCTGCCAAAAGTCTTCTCCAAAATAAGAAGAGGGCTGGCACACGGCTGATCTCGTCTAGTAGTATAAAACCCGAAGAAGTATCCGCAGAAGAAATGCCAGAGGTTGAAGCTGCAAGGTGCAGGGTTTTCCAAAGAGCAAATAACAACAGAAAGGTACTTGAATCGGACTTTGCTATATTGATGTTATTCTGGTCTTGTGTGCTTTACTGGAGCTCCATTTCATGTAACCGAGGCATTGAGAAGACTTCAAGCTCAGTTTGGGTTAGCTTTGGGGTTTAGGGCTACCCTGCTAATTTTGCGGATCTTTGCCTTGGTTCTGTGGATTATTACATTCCCTCATCATGTTTCCCGTTTTATGCTTCTTTAGCGAACACCAGATGAAGCTGTAACTCACCGCCTGACAAGAGTATCACATCATCCTTTAGCCATGATACAGAGTCTAAATGCATTAAGGGTATGTTTATGCTTTGTTTTACATTGATTCGGTGAACTCTCTCATCTGCAGAATTCAAATAAGCGGTAATTAAATATGTTACTGTCTTTCCATATCTATGACAGGTGGTGGAGGAGCCCAAAAGTTTTTCTTCATTTAGGGAACGACTGTACCACTTGCAGGCAAGTATAGTGTGCTTTTCCCCCCTTCTTCTTCTTTCTATTTGCTGCTTGTGGAGTTCCATTGAGTGGTTTCGAGTTCTAACCTGTCCTTGGGGCACATTATTATGATAGAAAACTGAGCGCACTAGAGTCTGCTTTGGGAGATCAGGTATACATGGATGGGGCCTCTTTGCCCGGAGGAACATTCAAGAAGGAGAAATGGTATGTTACCTCTGTCGGTCTTTAGATGCAACTATTCTTCTTCTTCGGACTGGTGACCTTAATAACCTTCATGTGTCACGGTAGTGTAATTCATTATGTTATGAATAGAGACATAGATATGCACGTACCTAATCAATCAGAGCATGATGCGCTGGAAAGTTCCCAAACGTGAAATGACGAGCAAAACTGTATGAATGTATCCAGGTTCTTGAATATCGAGGTGAACAGGTGAGAGGCAGTATTGCAGATCTGAGGGAAGCACGCTACCGTTTAGAAGGAAAAGACTGCTATGTGAGTCCCGGCATTTTTGCTCTTTTACTATATATAGTCGTCCATTCTTCTGGTGAACTCAGTAGCTCTGGTTCCCTTACATTCGTGGTGGCTTGTGCTGCTTCTTTGCTTTCTATTTCTAGATAGACAGTTGTTGAGTTCCCCTTTTTTCCTGTTTGCAGTTATTTAAGATAAGTGAAGAAGTCGTTGTGGATGCAACCGATAAAGGAAATATAGCACGACTCATTAACCATTCAGTAAGTTGCCTGTTATTTTTTTTTTCCCCTCCTTTCTGCATAACCTCAGCTCTTCCAAGTCAATGTTGAGGTCATGTAATACATCGCGATTACTGGATGATGATGGTTTTGAACGTTTGTTTGGTTCGGTTAAATGCAGTGTATGCCCAATTGCTATGCAAGGATCATGAGTGTGGGTGATGATGAAAGTCGTATAGTCCTCATCGCGAAGACAAATGTATCTGCTGGTGACGAATTAACGTATCTCTCTTTCCTTGTCTCTGTCACTCTCGTAGGCTTATAAATGAGAAAATCCGGATGAAAATGATTGATAATCTTTTTCAATTTCTCTGGTTTTTTGGTAGGTATGATTACTTGTTCGACCCTGACGAGCCGGATGAATTCAAAGTCCCGTGCTTGTGTAAATCCCCAAACTGCAGGAAGTTCATGAATTAGGGGTGGATCAAACCATACAAAGCTACTTCAGCAGAGCTCAACTGATATATTGTTTCTCCGCAAGGAGCACACTAACACCACAAATTGGCAGCTGCCGGACTCTGACGGATGACAGGATTTGTGATTTTTGCCAGGAAAGGGGTAGTATAGTAGTTTTTTTTCTTTTTTTTCCTTTTCATCTTTTTGGTTTCTTGCTGGCTTCTTTTTGACGAGCGTGATAATAAGAGCTCTCTATAGATAGGTGTTTTGCTGCCACATATAGCTTTGGGCACTCTTTTGTAAATCTAACTAACTGCTACGATTGCATCATATAGTTGAAAAGCTAACCCCAACTGCCACGTCCTACATCGCCGAACCGAGCCTTTCATTTTCCCGTGCGTTCATATTTCGTTCATTCGAACTGCCCCGAATTTCATTTAGTTATCCCATTACGCGATTACCTTTCGGAGGGAAATCTCGTTACGTGATCATGGCTACGCTTAACATCTCGTATATCATGCCAATGGTATGGTTTCATCTTCTGTTAGGTCAGGCCCACTACTCAGTATCATCAATGGGCCTAACATTCCTTTCATAGATTTATCCCATTCTGTATATACAAAACTGGGCCATAATTTGGCCCGAAAACCCTGCATGATCCAATCTGTCGGAACTAGTTTATGGTGGGTATTACTCGATCAACAAATAACGTGATGTGGAGCATGGGTATTGTTAGAGTTACAAATCCAGACCAAATCATTGGGAAAACCATGATTTAGAATAGAACGCGCAGTTTGGTCCAGACCGTAAGACTAGAATAACTGTCTGATCTAACTTGTGGTATCCCCTTCAGTGTGCGGTCTGATGTGGTCTAGACTTTAGCAAACCATGACCTACTGCTCATTAGCCTAACCAAAATAACACTAAACCTACAATTCGACATTTGGAAGAACAACCCGAGCATGATCAATCCGACCATGGCGAGCAAACAACCTGATCTTTCTATTAATGATTTCAGTAAAAGCACAACAAATCCATTGATTCAAATCAAACTGAAAACCAAAAAAATGCTCAAGTGATCCCTTTTACATTATCTCCTAATGAAAGAACTACACAATAACAAGAAAAGATGGGAGCGTCATCTCCACCAGCCATGTCTAGACTCCGGTGTCGATGATATATAAATGTAAAACAATTTTATTTTTACCTGGGTGAGATAGGAAAATTAATGGTGTGCATAGCAACCAACCCAATAGTTCACAACGGTCTCCCCTCATATTCCTTTGCGAGTTAATTACGATCTCTAAATTTTTGTTTCACTATAATATTGGGGGACTTAGGTTTTAAATTTTATGGACATTAGGGAGGGGAACGGAGAAGAATAAAGTATCGTTGAAAATGGTATATGACTGGTCCATATCGCACTGTACAGGCTGGTTCGATCTGAACCGTATAATATATGGTTTGGTCTGTGGTTTATGTTCTAGCAAATCGGTCATGATCGCATACCGTATATATGGTCCAATCTAGTCCAAACCGCACCGTTCCGACCACTAGGTATTGCTTCCAACCTGTCATACCCCGTCTCGTTCTCGAACCTTTCTATCATGATATGCATCAACATCCACATGCATCTATTCTCTTTTAACCATTCTAAAATCACATTTTCATCCCAAAAACAAATTTTAAGAATATTCTTGTTACTATTTAGACTCAATTATTCATTCTACTACCTTCCTCACTCATCTATGTATTATTCATTCTCAATATCTAACATTTTGTTTTTAAATAACATATAAGACTGAGTCGACCCACCACACCCTTTACCCGTCGGGAATACTCTAACTGATTCATGCTTTGTGCCAGACTAGACGCAGGGGCAAAGGGGACACCACTAAAATTTGAGAAAAAAATGATTATCTAATCCTGGTATTGGTAGTATTTTGCGTATGCTTAAAAAGCATATATATGTAAGTGTTAGACTAGGCGATTTGAATTTAAGACACTATTATTATTGTTAAACATGTTTTCGATTAAGCTATAACTAACTCACATGTTGTTACATTTTAAACACAAGTATAATAATACAAATGTAAGTGTATCCATGAGTTAATTCCTTTTTCCAATCATTTTCAAACCCTAACAACTAACCCAATTATGAGCTACCCTTATTCCTACTATTCTATCATATCCATGGGTTTACTTGTTCTCAAATTGATTGGACCGATTTGCAACCAAGTGTCGACATAACACTTTCATCTTTTGGTTACTTTATGAATAAGTTTCAGAATCGAATAATCAGTCCATCACAATTCACATTGACTAAAAATTCAATGCAACCGAGACCAAGGGCCCAAATTTCACTAACTTAGGCTCGCGCGTGTGGCAACTGCTGCCGCGATTTGCCTCCTAGTCCCTACCCTGCCTGCCCACGGTTAAAAAATGCATCATTACTTATCGAAATCACGAACCGAACCACCACCACCTACTTCAGTCGAGCGTTTTATTTATCCGCCCTTAATCCTACTCTTACCTTACCAGATAAAAACCCAAGCCCCTCAAGTCTGTTCCCTAAAGGCAACAGGGTACAACCTTTTTTGTTTTTGTTTTTGACCAGGGTAAAAAACGAAGACACAAGAAACGTGACAAAATCAGCCTAAATACCCCAAAACGGAATAAACCCAAACATATTCCCTATCGTTGTCTCAACTTTAATGCATGACATCAACCCACAAAAGTTCATTAATCAAACCGCGTATTTTGCCATCATACCAAAAGATGCATTGTTCACTTCAACAAAACTCATCTTATGCTCAGACAATATGACTTCAAAACCCTATCGAGAAAACAAGACACAACACGAAAAGGTAAAAAGAACCATAATACCTTTTTACCTGTCAACTGGAGCTGCCCTGAAGCCGAAATGCTGCCGCCAAGCTGCAAAACTGAAAAGATCACTGGAAGAGAACCAGAAAGATTGACCTCCCCGCCTACCAGCAGGGAAGAAACAGTTTTATTTCCTCGGCTAAAAGAGCAACAAAAACAAAAATGGGGAGAAGAGCAGGAGAAGTGAAAAAGGGAAAGGGGACTTCTGAAAGGAAAGAAAAGATGTGAACATAGAAATATTAGTCTCAATGTGTACTTTCAGGAGAATGATGTATCCGACTTAATAACACCGACTCATCAGACTCATTCGTACCCCCAGGCATCAATCCCTCAGTTGCCCTGGAAGAACATCCATCATCATCTTCCACTAAAACTAAAGAACCCCCGCCTGCAGAGCATTCCCCAACTCTCACCTCCATCTTTTCTTCTTCGACATTTTTATCTGTGCTGCCGCTATTACCTTCATCGCTCTCCACCTGACCACCGGTAGGCAAAGCGGAACCTCCTCGAGGGGGATTATCCGGTAGAGAGCCCTCTGACATCGGGGTATCAGACAGCCTTTCTTCTTCTTCATCTACCTTCAACTCACCACCGACCATGCATTCCGATGGATTATTCCCCTGCGCGTCAGAGCTAGGAGGAGGAGCTTCTTCACCCACAGACTCTAAATTATGTGCAGGGATATCATCAACACAAACAGGAACCACCTCTTCTGTAGGAGTTGTTGCTACGATCTCGTCCATCTTGACCTCCTCAGTAGAAACCATCGAAACATCACCACCAGGAACTTTTTGTTCCACGTTGAAGACCGGTGGTGCATCAGCCACTTCTATGCCGAGGTTGGAAGTGAGAGGTTCCTCGACTTTCTCCCCGTCTTTAAGGGTAATGGATTGCTGCTCCTCCTCCTTCGACTCAGATGATGCTTGTATGGCATCTATTATTCCCCCTTGTATACATGGCATACCACTTGCTCTCTGCTTCTTGTAGATGTCCATGGCTCTCTACAAGAAACAAACCACTACGAGTCAAACAACTAACCCTACTAAACATAGCATTACTGTGGATAGTCCCTATTTTTACCTTGAATATCGAATCACTAGATGCAGGAAAGAGCGCGTTACTGAAGAATACACTGGAATTTTTAGGCACTGCTCTCGCACCATCCTATCATGGAAGAAAACACACAACAAAAGTATATTTAAAGACATTAGAAAAAGAAAAGAGGATACAAAATATGATTTGAAAAAATATGAAAAATTAAGCCCTTACGAGTTCAGGTATATTACCTTCAAATTTATCAGCACATCAGCATCTTCATCAACAGATGCGTTAACTTCAACCTTCAACAATCCCATACACTTACTATACAGATCCGAACTAGCAAGTTCACTGGAAATGTCCACCTTAGGTAGATAGGCATTGATAAAATTACTGAAGCGGTCTTCACTCGAAGTTTTAGGAGGGTCAGCGGCAATCCTCTGCTGGGAAGTTGTCTTGGGATGAGATCTAGAAGATTCTTTGACTGCTAACACAACAGAAGGTTTACTTTCAACTGCTTTTCCCTTGGAACCATCCTTATTACAAGTTTCATTCTGCAACTTTTGACCTGCTCCCAGTACACCAGAGCTATCATCAACAGAAGCCTGAACTTTGTTGTCCTCCTTCAAAGACTTTGAGGTCAAGTCTGTGGTGATATCACCGTTTTGTCCTTTCCAGATATCCGTACTCGAATCCCATCCATGACCATTCATCGCATGCCTATTCTGGTTCCATTCTGGACCACCAAACATATGGCCATCATCCCTAAATATACCATTGCTACCGCCATCCCATCCATGCAAGTGAGAAGAACCCGATCCATCCATTATGTTCTGCCATCCAAGAGGACGCAGATGACCAGAAAACCTGTCAGCATCTGTTATATGATAAGGGATACCAGAATGGCTTAGCTCCATTGAGGGTCTAACAAACAAAGATGGATTTGGAAAAGGAGACAGCATAGGCGGAAAGCCCCCATGATGAGGTCCATGTTGAAAAGGGATGAAGCCATTAGGCAGAGGTGAAGGCCAATTTGGGGCACCCCTCCAGGCATTTACTTGACCTCGTCCCATGTTGAGATCGCCGGTCCTCTTGTAGCGACCACTGTTGGTGTTGAGCCTACCATCATCATCAAATGAACCCAAAAAGGAAGGGCTACTAACCCCGCCCCTGATGGATGGCGGGGGAGGATTCAAATGGGAATTGGGCTGACTAGATCTATTGTAAAAGGAAGAACCATTTAAACTGGAATCTTCTTTGTCCATTGGCAAATCCCGAACTGATCTGTCTTCAATAGAAGGCACATCTCTAGCTCCCATCGACCCACTGTTCCTTCTTCCTGACTCGTCAATCTCAAGGCTCCTTCTAACATTATTTCTGCCCATATATCTACGCTCGAGGCTAGTCGACGATGGAGATCTTTCCACAAGTCCCATCGGTGAAGCTTTGGAGCTAGTGGTTCTCTCCAACGGCTCCGTCGAGTGGCCATCATCCATTTTCACAGGTTTCTCAGAGGATCTTAGCTTGGAAGATCTATCCGATCCTCCAGAAAACAAACTAGCATCTCTCGAATTATTTGTTCTGAGCCTCTGCTCTGGCCCATCATCTCTGTACCTCACATCTTCTGCTTTTGCATACCTGGAAAAGAGAGGAAGACAGTCAATTACATCCTATGGTCACCTCATGAACAGAATCAATGACACTATTATGAAGGGGAGAAAACATCAGATTATCTAAAGTGAAAATTGACACAACACAAAGAGTACAACCACATATTATTCTGACCAGAAATATGAAAAGTACAGCATTTAAGCTAAAAAGTTTTCCAGCAAGGAAAAAAAAAAAGGATTTTGCAAACAAAAAAGAACTGAAAAGATAATCGGATAACCAAGCCTGACTACATAATTCAATTAATATTGAGTGGCCTGATTACCTATATTCATCTGCAGCACCCTGAGAACTGATGACTGGTGAAGCTCTCCTCCTGCTTCCACTGAAATTTTCATGGTGTGATTGGCGTGACTGAGACCTTCCCCTGTCAGCATCTCCTTCAATCCTACTGCCAATTGAAAATTTATTATCCGCATCTGCATAGGATCCTTTACTACTTCTCAATTTTGCATCATCATCAAGATCATCAGGAGACCTCTTCCTAGACCTGCTTTCTCTGTTCCTATCTCTTCTATCATCAACATACAATGAATCATAATCCCGGTCTCTATCTCTATCTCGATCCTTGTCACGTTCTCGATCTCTATCCCACTCCCAGTCGTGGTCTCGATCATTTTCCCGATCACGAACTCGCTCGCGGTGACGGTCACTGTCCCTTCCCCGCTCATAACCGCGGTCACGGCCAATATCATGATCACAGTCACGATCATAATCACTATCCCGATCGCGGTCACACTCAATGTCCTGAGGCTTAGATTTCTTGTGTCGGGAACCTGTACCCTCTTGCTCATCCCTAGAGTGCTTGCTATTTATATGATCTCTTGAAGCGCGGTCATCTCTTTGCTTGTCATCCCGATGCCTAGTTTCACCTTCATGGTTCTTATCTCTACATCTTCCATCCTTGGTAACATCATCCTGGTACTTATCACCATCACCAGAACCATCTCTCTTTCTCCTAGTGCGTTTCTCAGGTATGTTTTCAGGCTCTGGGTCGTGCAATGTGTCTTTGAGCACTACAGCAAGAAAAATAAAATGGGTAAAGCTCAGGTCAACCGGGGGAAAAAGTACACATAGAAACATGCACCGACAACATATAAAAAACAACCAACTAGATAGATGAACTACTGATATTGTAATGCATTCACCCAACGTAGCACTTAAGTTACAGAAAACAAATCATCATAAAGACTGGATGTATAACTGAGAAATCTGCAATTAAACATTTGAAAAGAATTAATGCAGGCGACCGTTGAAAGGGCTGGCTCAAAGAAGATTAATAAGGAAATTGGCATCATCAGACAATTATCAAAGGTTTGGCCTACCTTAAAATAAACTTATTCTTTTCACCTAAAAGATTGACATGCTACAAATAACTAGGAAAGGGTTTCATCCAGAGCTATTTTTCATCATCTTCACACCAAAATATCTGTGACAAGGCTTACAGACATCGACCACATAATCACGCAACCAAAAAGCAAACCAGAGGAAACATAGAGAATTAAGTCTTCAATGGCTGAGAAATAACTTCCTGGCATATAATTAATTCAATTGTCCATGCAACATGGCACTGAGAACAGAACTAAAAAGCTACCACTATTTCTCTGACAGAGAGCACACAAAAATTGTCACATGACCCAAGTTGCCCAGAGATTATATTTTCGCCTTTAGCACAAACAAAACAAAACTGACAAGCAATTTCCATCCTCCAAATAGTAAAATGCCACTTCCCATACCAGCTACGATTCAACGTATACTAGACAACAACCTAATAGAACATAACCAAATCACTGACACTGAATCATTACACAACCAATAATCTAAAAGAGCATCACACAATCATCATACAATACATAACCAACAATCTACATAATCAAGCATAGCATACACTATTCAACTAGATACCTTACCAGTTTTTTCAGAGACCTGCTTTCCAGAACGCAAGTCCTCACCATCAATCAACTTCTCGCTCCTTGACTCTCTACCCTTCCTCTCCCTGTCTCTTTCCCTTTCCCTATCCCTTTCTCTGTCCTTGTCCCTATCAGCCCCATCCTTTCGGCTACTCGACTCCTTATGCTTCCCTTCACTCTTTCCGCTGCTCCTTCTCCCAACTACCTCTTCGCTCTCACCAGCACCGTTTCCAACATTTTCATCTCTCCTCGAACTCTCTTCCCGCCGCTTGCTGCTCAACTTCTCCTTCAACTTCTTGGACACTTCGCCCTTACCATCCTCCCCGCCATTCCACCTGTCGCTCCCACCATCCTCCACTCTGTCCTTCCGTCGCTTCGAGGAAGAAGAATATTCCTCCGCATATTCCCCGTTTCCAGTGCCAACACCATCCTTATTCTCCTTCAAATCCAATTTCCGCTTCTCCCCGGAGCCAGCGGACTCCTTCAAAACCCTAGCGGAACCGCTCTCCTCCTTCGACTTCCGCTCCTTCAAACTTGTCTCCTTCTCCGAATCCGAGTAGTCCTTCTCCTTCGCATCCTTCGAACTGTGCTTGCTCGACTTGTGGCGCGAACTCCTCGGCATCGCGAAACACTAAGAACTCGACTCTCCCCGATTCCAAATCCAAAATACACAAAAAAAAAAAACCTAATCGCCAAGCAGCCACAGAAACTCAACTTCCCCGTAGTTCTCCTGACATCAATCCCGTAAACCTAATTCATCATCTTCCTCCCAACCACTGACCGAATCTGACAGTTATGAGCTTCGATTCTGGAAACCTCCCGTAAGCGAAACCCTAACTGCAAAGCCGACGAGCATACAGCGAACGAATTAAGAGCAGAAGACACCGAAACCCTAGCCGGCGGCAATGGGAGCGGCGGCGGCCGAAGGGCGTAGATCGCCGGGGAGCGGGAGGGATAGATTGCGAGGGATGGCGGAATGGAAAGTAGGAAGAGAGAGAAAGAGAGATCGAGTAAGGAAAGATAAATGTGTTGGGGAAGAGAGAGGGAGTTGGATTGGAAAAAAAACAGGTGTAGTTTGTTTTGCCCCCGTTTATCTCTGCTTGTGTGTGTGTGTCAAACTTAAAAGTTAAAACCCCACACGACTCCGCGGCGACTTTGGGAATGGGAGGTAAAAAGAGCCGGGGAGGTTTGCCGAGATTTACCCGCGGGGTGAATCCGCGCGGTAGATTCTGTAATCCGGCAAATACAAAAGAAGAGCATATTTGGGCCTTGAGGGGAATATATGGGCTTATTCTCTTCACCTTATCGTAAGTTGAGCTCTAATTATTTACGGCCCATCAACGTTTGGGCTCGTAACTAGTTTCCATCGTCAACGAGAAAGCCCGCCAACCAATCCCCACGTGTCGCGGGAACAGGCCGACAGTTGAAATCAAGTGACAAAAAACGGAAACAGACAGAGAGCCATCGAAGAAAGACGAGTCACGCCTCCGTACCACGCGAGAAGCTCGAGCAAGGAAGCAACCCACCACGGTCCGTGGAGTTGGAGATATTTGCAGGGGCCGACGTTGACACGAGCTGAACCCATGGCGGAAACGCTCAGACCTCGTCTCATCACGCACCTCTCACACGCCACTTCTCTCTTCCATTTATACACTCCTCCTCCCCAATAATCTCTCCCTCAAAATCACTCACTCTCATAGCCGGAGCTCCAATCCGATGGCGGCGGTGCTGCGGGCCCCTTCTCTGGCCGAAAGGCGATTCGAAGCAGTGGGCTTCGGCGGGAGCTTGTCGCCGGCGAGGATGATCCGCCGGGGTCAATTGCGAAGCAGGTCCGACCGTTCGTCCCGCGGGAGAATGGGGACTGTGAGGTGCTTCTCCTCTTCGTCGTCTTCTTCTGCTGGTTCGAGTGGAGCCGTTTCCCCGATGGAATTCCTGGAGGAAGAGGACTTGGGGCATGTGATACGGTTCGAAATGTCCGATTTCAAGATGCTCGATCGGGTTAGCGCTGGCCTTGGCGGGCGGGTAATGCTCCTTCTTGAAGAAAAAAAAAATTGAATTCAAATGTGTACATTTCCTTCAATTGTCTATAAAGTTTGAACTTCGACGGAATCTTGCAGGGAGACGAAGTAGTATTCGAAGCGGTGGTTGATGATGAGACGAGGTGAGTATTGAACTCTATAATCGAGCTATTTCGCGGGATAATTTGCTTGATCAGTCATGGTGAGAGTTCTTTTGCCTGCAGTCCTTTGTACAATACGAGAGTTGTGCTGCGGCGGCTTACGAGTACACAAGCTCAACGAAGGGGAAAGCGAGCAATCGAGGTTTGTGAGTTAGTGGATTGAATGTGGCGTGAAGCTATAATGGGGATATTCATCATATTATAGATTAACTTACAGTTAGAATTTCGTTGCAGGTGTTGAAGAAGCTGGTTCGTCGGAGGCTCATGTATCATTCGTATTCAATGCAAGTTCATGGCTATGTTTCCTCACAGACAAGCTCTGGCGATGCCTCGTTTACTTTGGTCCATGGGGTAGGATGCCTTGCCTCCTCTGAGTCTTTTGCATAACAATTACTAGAGGGTAGATCTTACTTCTTAGTTGTTCCTTGTGTTCTTTTCCCCCTTCAATGGCAGTACCATGGAAGTTTTTCCTTGAGACATTGGCTTAATCAGTCAGATTGGCTGCCAACTTTGGAAGCTACACTTGCATTGGATGAGGAATCTGTCAGAAGGGTTGGAGATGACACGGTTGGGGGGCCGACAGTCTCGAGGAAATTACGAATCATCCGTGTCTTGATGAGAGACCTTTTGATTGGAGTATGCTTAATTTATGTAGATAAGTATATCAATGGACACTTACCCTGTGATGAAATTAAAGATTGAGTTTTACCCTTGTGCTTCAGGTAAACTACTTGCACAGTCATGGACTTGCTCATACAGAATTGAGGCTGGAGAATGTGCATATAAGCCCAGTGGATAGACATATCAAAGTAAATATTATTGGATTCTGCTTGTCGACTAGATTTGGTAATTTTGATTTTAGAAGTTAATTGACAAGAATCTAGTAGTTTGTACAAAGCATAATGATGGCATGTGGTGATTATAAGAATGCTGGTTTCTTGGTTGTTTCTCTTGTTACTTGTTATGTATATTTCATTTCCAACCTTACAGGTAGGCATACTGGGTAATGCTGCAGACTTCTATGAGGATGGTCAAAATAATACTACATTGGACAACAACATGGATCGGCGACGGATGATGATTGGCTTTGACATGAGGTATAGTATGCAGAATCAGTGTGGAGTGCAAAAGCTTGTGAAGAGACTTGTAAATCTCAGTCTGATTCAATTTTTGTATAGATGCCTGGGATTCATGATGGCAAAAATGGTGTTACGAGAACTCATGGATCCACTGATATTTTCGAAGTTCAAAACCTTCCTCGTAAAGGTATAACACAGTACATTGAGATTTTGTGAACCATGTAATCCAATCTAAATATGCTCATCTCTGCTTTTTTAATATTCTTCTTACTTGAGTCGCACGCAACTCATTTACACGTCATTGCAGGGACATGATCCTTCCTGCTTGCGTGAATTCATGTTACAAACTCTTAATAGGAGTAGTTCATCTGGAAACGTCGGACTCCAAGTATGTTGTATATTATATTCCTCCAAATTAGCATTGTTCATATTAAGTGGTGAAACATTTGAATTCATTGGGTTTTCTGTAGATGCTCGACCGGAACTGGGGTGCAGGTTGGAACCTTCTGTCCTCGTTACTTGCAACTAAACCTTCCAAAAGAATGAGGTAGCATCTCATCAGTGCGTCATGATATTCAAAGGCTAGCTTCTCTTTTGTCTAACTATAGCAGCTGGATCATTTCCGTTGCAGCTGTCTGGATGCTCTTAGGCATCCATTTCTGTGCGGACCCAGATGGCGTATTACTCCATCCATGGATATCATTCGATGGGGTCTCGGCTCAACTGCTGTGCGAATTATAGAGGAATACATTTATAGTAGGCCTCAGGTACCCCCTCATGTTTTCACCCTTTTGATATATATCAATGATGTTAGAAGCCTTTTTTTATGGAAAATGTTAGAAACCTTTTGGTATTTATAAACAGAGCAGGCTAACTTCTTGTGATTTGCTATAATAGCGAAACAGGATTTCGTATTTCATTGAACTGATGGAGATGCTCAATCCTAATTCCAAGCCAAAGGTAGGCAAGAACTTTCATATCCGTCACTTCCATATAAAATCAAACTGAAACCAATCAAATTAGATTCAGCACTTATCTATGCTCCAATTTCATATGCAGAACTGGTTCGAATTGCTACCAGGAAAATGGCGTCTAATATACTGCACAGGGAGGCATGTGGGACTAACCCTTCGCCAGCCACCCGCCCGAGTGCTCATAGGGAACGTCAGTCTGACAGTATCCAAACTATCAAAACAAAGCAGAGATCTCTCATTCACTTCTAGCGTTGACTTCACAGTCATGACCGGTCAAGACTGGCCCCATGATAAGACCGGTGTGGACGGCCAGCTGCAAGTGAACTCTCCATTCAAACTAATGTCAGGGAAACGGCTGTACCTCAAGGGAGAAAAGAACACCACCAGCGGGAGATTCTCATTCGGGGAATCTACCGATATGGATTCCCTGGCCCCCAAGTTACTAGCAGGGAGATGGAGGAAAGCCCTGCCATTTAAGGAGTTCCCATCGAGCCTCCGTGTGGCGAAGCTTGCTTCGGGTGAGAATGTTGACATCACAATGACGTTTGACGATGGAGAGAAGGGTCGTGGAAATGTGGTTCAGGCACGAGATGCACTTCGGGAGGTCCGAATCCAGTTGCCTCCAGAGATGTTCGATTTGTCGAGGATTGTGTGTGGGACGTTTGTTGACGCTAGGCATCTGGTGCTTCGTGGAGTGAATGGGTCGGCTTTGTTGTTTGCTAGGTCTTGTTTGGATCAGTAAGAAGTGTGTAGATAGCAGAAGGTGATTTGGTTAGAATGAAATTTGAATGTACAGTTTGTGTACATATTCATGTAGTTCAAAACAATCGACATCTCTTACAGATTGCACACGATTCTTGAATTAGAAACGGGCCTATGACCATTCGCATCCAGACTGAACTTTCATGCCAACATTGCTGGCAAAATTTCAAGGACAGAGTTCTGCATAAACCATACACAATCAGCCTGGACAGTAGATGTTACGAAAATGAAGGACGAAGAAGAGAGGACGAAATTAAGTCTCGTACCAAAACTATTTTCTTCTTTTTATGGCAAGTTTTGTACCAAAACTTGGATTTCAGAAATACACAGGAAAGGTAATGTGCAATTTGCAGGCTTCAAAATCCGGAAAGTATGCATGAAGAAAAAAGGTACTGCGCATTAAAGACAAACCTCACTCCATAATGTATACAGTTTGATGACTTTGTATATTTATATGCTAACTTGTTCTAATTTTTTTTTCATATATAAACTATAGGGTTAAAGACACATTTGGCCACTGAGATTACAAAATCGGCACATGTTTAGTCACTAGAAAAAGTTAATATCAAATTTGGTCACTACAATTACTAAAACTGGACGCATTTAGTCACTCGTCGTTAGTCTCCGTCCAACTCCGTTAATGAAGTCCGTTAAGTGTTGATGTGGCAAACAGAATTGCCTAATCAGCCCGATATTAATCCAACAAAAATAAAACCCGACCCGCCACGTCATTATAACCCGCCACGTCATTAAAACCAACCCAACCCATGACCCAACCCTACCCAACCCTTCTTCCTCCTTCCTCCCCAACCCAATTTAGGATTTTCCCCATCCCATCCAAATTCGCTGGGCGGGGAGAAGATCTCTCCGCCATTAATCTGCCGCCCTTCCTTCATCTTCTTCTTCTGTCATTCCCAATTCCAAAAAAATCTTATTTCAACTCTTATTCTTCTTTTCTTTTCCATTGATTCCATGGCGGCTATTGGTTGAGGTATTCGATCCTCCACCGTTGCCGTTGTTTGAGCCTGCTCTGGTGATTGTGGGTTGGACGGAGTTGTGAACTTTTTTTCGGCCTCCTGTCCACAGGCAGTAGAATACTGTGCGTATGCCTGCGAAACCTCCGACTGATCCGAAGACGGCGAACGACAACAACCCCTTACTTAAGCTTGTTGATGATGATGATGTAGGAGGTGGTGGCAGCGGCGATGTAAGGAATGGCGGTGGAGGGGATGCCTCTGTCGAAACATTGAACCCGCACGGCCTGCATATCACCCCTGAACCGCCGCACCAGTTCTGAGAATCTTCGTACACGCCGCATTCGTCGCAGGAAGAAGATTGGACGCAAGGCCCTGGCAGAATCGGTGGCAGTGGAAGGATCTGATAGGGCTCTGAATTCGAATTCGAAGGTCATCCGGGTCCCCAACAGATTGTCGACAAGTTGTTCGACAAAATGCCGCACAGAAAATTCGACCCAGAGACGATAGACTCGAAGAAGATTCCTTCAATCCCATTGACCACCATCCCTCCATCTCCACCCCAACAAACCACCGACCCATTGCTCCGACGAAGAGCGCAACTGTGATTGGCTCCCAGCGCCAACAGTGAATACTCCAGCGGCGGCGAATTCAGGGGAACATTGAGCTGCCCGGAGGAATTGTCTCCTTTGCAAACCACAAACCAAGTCGAATTCACTCCGCATGCGTGAGACCCGCCGGCTTGAACACTCAACATTGGCATGTTCCCAAACCCCAATTCGATTCTCTCTACAATCGGATCGCTTCCCCAGCTCCGAATTCTGCTCCCGTTAGCCGAAATCCCGCAAGAAAACCCGTATCCGGATGAAATCGCCATTGAATCAATGGAAAAGAAAAGAAGAATAAGATTTTTAGGAATTGGGAATGACAGAGGAAGACGATGAAGGAAGGGCGGCAGATTAATGGCGGAGAGATCTTCTCCCCGCCCAGCGAATTTGGATGGGATGGGGAAAACCCTAAATTGGGTTGGGGAGGAAGGAGGAAGAAGGGTTGGGTAGGGTTGGGTCATGGGTTGGGTTGGGTTGGTTTTAATGAGGTGGCGGGTTATTATGATGTGGCGGGTCGGGTTTTATTTTTGTTGGGTTAATATCCGGCTGATTAGGCAATTCTGTTTGCCACATCAGCACTTAACGGACTTCATTAACGGAGTTGGACGGAGACTAACGGCGAGTGACTAAATGCGTCCAGTTTTAGTAATTGTAGTGACCAAATTTGATATTAACTTTTTCTAGTGACTAAACATGTCCCGATTTTGTAATCTCAGTGACCAAATGTGTCTTTAACCCCATAAAAAAAAAGATATAATTGATTGTATCTGATTGTCGGTGAAATTCCGCCGCTTTCTTCTCCGAAGATCTGGTTGCCATCACGGTGGAGGAAAATCGCTTGCATGCAGCGGCTGTATCTCCAGGTGATTATTGTGGTGAAAAGTAGATGGAAGAGGCCAAGAGGGGGTTTCTAGCTCGTGGATCTGGGTTTGACGAGAGAGGTGGGATTTTTGGGAAAGAAAAGAGGGATCGAAGGTCATATTGATCGGAGACGCAACGACGGGGGAGAGTGAGGTGTTGGGCGCCAGCGACTCGTCTTCATCTCCATCTCTCTTCGTCTCCGATGGCTGAGCTTCAGCGGCGACAATTTCAATTAAAAGCCCCAAATCAGATGAAAGCCCCCTCTATTAGCTCTCTCTCTTCCCCAGTGCAGATCTCCGATTTTGGATTTTGGTCACGGACAAGATGAAGCAAACAGGATGGTGCCGACGGTGAAGAGAAACGATTCCCGAATCGGAGGTTTTCGGCTGCTAAACCCACTAGTCAATGATTCCCGAGACAGATCTATTGATTTGGGGACAACTCCCTTGAGTTTCAGTCGTGAGGAAGAACATAACATATCTACTAATTTGGGAGCTTGGGTAGTAGATCGAGAACCCTAGGGTTAGGGGGAAAATCTCTACTTTTGGATATCGAGTGTTGGATGCTTGCTTTTGTTTTTGCTGGGTTATGCATATGACGGCGGGGGAGCTGCAAAAGACGCCGACGATGGTGTGAGAGGAGAGAGGATGAGAAAGTAATTTGTGATTTTTTATTTATTTTTAAAATTAACATATGATATGGCATCTATGTGGCGAGTTGTCGATGATGTGTCCGATGAGTTGGCAGCCACGTAGGTGTTCTGTTAATTTGACTAACGGTGTCAATGACGCCGTCAAATTATGTAACGGAAATGGCTATTATTGTCATCAAATTTTCAAATTTTTGGCTATATTTGGTATTTTTCCAAAAGTGGCTATTATTGTCACAAACGTCAAAGTTTTAGCTATACAAATGAATTTTGCCTTATATATATTAAACTAGCTTATTACCCGGCCCGTTGGCCGGATTACTGTATGTTACCCACTTGTGGAATGGGAGAGAAAGCAAGTGAGAGTGAAGGGATTGGGATTCCACTTGATTAGGACCGACCCACTAATCCGATTCTTCCCGACCCGCCCCAACCTAAAGGGTCAGAAAGAGTCAATAAGAAAATACGAATGGAGAGGATTAGTCATATATCTTGACTCTTCAGAAGTGGGTCAAACAGGATCAAGGTTGGGTGAGGGCAATTTTTAGCGCTAAGCAGAGTTATGGGTTGAATAACTTTACTTAGCCTAGAAATTGGTGTTGATGTAGACTGCAGTTTTTATTATACTACATCAATCATCATTGAATTAGTCCTGGGCATCCCTCCCCGTTGTCGATCTGAATTCTAATGATGGCTTCATTCCTTGCACCAGCCATATCAGCGAGTTGTCATCTCGAGCATGATTTGCCTATGTACAAATGATACAATTAGAGTATGAAACTGAATTCAAAGAAAAGGAAAAGAGAATTCTATCACATGCCAATAAATACACACATAATAGTTGAAGCTAAGTGAAAGTCATTACTCGCACATCAATTCTCAAAAATTACAAACTAAACAATGGCTAATGGCACTGAAACTACCAAGAATCATGGACGAAACAACTTGTCAAATTAAATCATCCTTATACTGAAACTACCTTCTAACTTGAAATAAGACATGATCACAATTCATAGCTCTCTTCTCACTATGAATTGGTTGCAGCTCGTCCTTATCACTGCCTCCCAAGCTCAATTCAAACAGAATAGAGACCGTTATGTAAGATAACCATATCCTTACTGATCATAATTCCTTTCTTCACTCCATTTTTGTCGGAGAAAAGAGTTATCCCCCTCTCCTGCATTTCCCTTTCCCCCTCTCTTCTCCCTCTTCTTCACAAACCGATCCCTAAACCAACAACAACAACAACACAAAAATATCCTTCGCCTCTGCCATCTCCATCTACTGAACGAGTTGGTGGCAAGACAGGACTGCAGAAGCAAAATTTTCTAAAATCAAACTAAATTTTTTGAAGGAGACTCAACCACGAAAAAAGAGTAAAGCAACAATGCTAATAGTTCAGATGGTTGGTTTTGATGTTATACGTTGCTTTTGTTCTGGTCATCAGTATATCAACTGCAACAGAGATGTTTCCTCCAATCATCTTTAGTGCACGATTTAGAAGCAAGTCCTCCTATTTGTGTCAAACAGAATCATTCATGGGTTCTTAACTCCCCTGTTAGTGTAAATGCAGCAACAGTAGCAAAGAAGTTTGACAACACAGCAAGCACCCAGGCAAAATGATACAATGCAGTAGGTGATATGTGTCCCGAAGGTTTTGAGTTACTAATGTTCATGTTAAAAATAAACATGAATTAAAATGGATTATTCTATTAAGCAAACATCCCCTCTAATCATACAAAGATCATATATCCAATTCACAAACAATTAAGCCATAAAAAATCATCACACATCCACCACTTTGATTGCCTAAATTTGGTTTTTCGCAAAGTTATGGACTCTTAAGGGTAACGTTCATGGGTAGTCTGTTTCATAACTCTAGATAGCACAGTAAGCAGCCACTAGCCAGACACAGTGCGGTAGGCGAATATGATTCTCAATTTACAATTTCTCACCACCGGAAGTAAGAACAGACCATAATAAGCGCAGCCTTCATGGGTGGTCTGTTTCATAGCACTACTACACAATTTGTTAAAAAAGAAAGAAAGGTATTTAGCATCACGGCGGAACAACTTTTACAGGCCAACAACGACAACATGCTGCAACCACCAAAACTGGTATCACAACTCATAGGGAAAATCAAA